CAACCCTGTCCTGGTCAATCCTTTCCAGCTCCTTCCAGTTGTAATTCATCCTTTTCATATCTGCTTCTATTATCCGACGTAATGTGTTCTTTGGCCTTCCTCTTTGCCGCTTCCCTTCAGGATTCCAAGTTAGAGCTTGCCTCGTGATGCAGTTTGACGATTTGCGTAATGTATGTCCTATCCATTTCCATCGTCTTTTCCTAATTTCCTCTTCAGCTGAAAGTTGGTTTGTTCTCTCCCACAGAAGGCTATTGCTGATGGTATCCGGCCAATGGATGTTGAGTATCTTGCGTAGACAGCTATTTATAAATACTTGTACTTTCTTGATTGTGGTTGTTGTAGTTCTCCAAGTTTCAGCTCCATACAGTAGAATTGCCTTGACGTTCGTATTGAAGATTCTCACTTTGATATTGGTTGAAAGTTGTTTTGAGTTCCATATGTTCTTCAATTGTAGGAATGCGGCCCTTGCTTTGCCAATCCTCGCCTTTACGTCTGCATCTGAACCTCCATGTCTATCGACGATGCTTCCCAGATATGTGAAGGATTCTACATCTTCCAGAGTTTCGCCATCAAGGGTGATTGGATTGCTGTTCTCCGCTTTGAATTTGAGGACCTTGGTTTTCCCTTTGTGTATACTGAGGCCTACTGATGCAGAGACTGCTGCTACATTGGCTGTCTTTATCTGAATCTGTTCACGTGTACGTGATAGGAGGGCTAGGTCATCTGCGAAGTCCAGATCGTCTAATTGGTTCTGAGCTGTCCATTGTATTCCGTGTTTTCCTTCAGATGTCGAGGTCTTCATAATCCAGTCGACCATCAGAAGAAAGAGGAAGGGAGAGAGTAAACAGCCTTGTCTGACTCCGGTCCTTGGAATGCATCTGTCAGCTGTCCTCCATGCACTACTTTGCACTGTAGTCCGTCGTATGAGTTCCGGATAATATTGACAATCTTCTCAGGAACTCCGTAGTGTCGAAGAAGTTTCCATAATGTCCTCCTATCTACACTGTCAAATGCCTTTTCATAATCAATGAAGTTGATGTATAGTGACGAGTTCCACTCAACTGATTGTTCGACGATGATCCGTAGTGTTGCAATTTGGTCTGTGCACGACCGATCCTTTCGGAATCCAGCTTGTTGATCTCGAAGTTGGGCATCTACTGCATCCTTCATCCGGTTCAGCAACACTCTGTTGAAGACTTTCCCTGGTATTGACAGTAGTGTAACGCCTCTGTAGTTTTCACATTTGCTCAGATCTCCTTTCTTTGGAATCTTGATGAGGTGTCCTTCTTTCCAGTCCATCGGCACTTGTTCCTCCTCCCAAATCTTTTTGAATAGAGGGTAAAGCATGCTTGTGGTTACTTCGACGTCTGATTTCAGTGCTTCAGCTGGTATGTTGTCGGGTCCTGCTGCTTTCTCGTTCTTGATTTGTCTGACGGCCATTCTAATTTCTTCCGTCGTTGGTGGGTTGACATCTATAGGAAGATCTGTGTGTGCTGCTTCGATGTTCGGTGGATTCATTGGAGCCGGCCTATTCAGGAGTTCCTCGAAGTATTCTACCCATCTGTTTTGCTGTTGTTGAATTTCAGTGATTGGCTTGCCTTCTTTGTCTTTGACCGGCCTCTCTGGTTTACTGTATTTCCCTGATAGTTTCTTCGTTGTATCGTAGAGCTGTTTCATATTTCCTTCTCTAGCAGCTTTTTCTGCCGTCGTTGCTAATTCTTCCACGTATTTCTTCCTGTCGGCTCTAATGCTCCTCTTCACTTGCTTGTTTGCTTCTATGTATTCAGCTTGTGCTTGGACTTTCTCTGCTCGTGTTCGGCTGTTGTTAAGTGCTGTCTTCTTTTTCTTCCTTTCTTTGATCTTGTCCAATGTTTCTATAGAGATCCATTCCTTATGATGGTGTTTCTTTAGGACCAGAACCTCTTGACACGTTGAAGTCAATGTTTCTTTGATGCCTTTCCAGTTGTCCTCCATGGTAGTTTTTTCTTCCTTCAGTAGATCTTGAAAGGCTTGGAATCTGTTGTTGAGAGCTTTTGAAGGTTGTAACTTTTTTTCACGTGGTATTATTTTATTTTCCTATTAGTTTTTCTCTTTAATTTAACACTTAATAGCGATAAATAATTCGTCACTGATAGGGTTCTATCAACTTGACACCTTATTTAGGAACTCAACGTCATAAATTAATCTTGCTAATTCTCACGCTATCTCTATCACCAATTAACGTTAATATATTTACTCTTAACTAATACTGGGTCTGATCCTACCATAAAACTTTACACGTTCACTAAGTTAAATTACAACTATCGCCGTCCACCTAATTAAACTTTGTATTTACATTACTTCCGATAATGTCCAGGCCATCTAAAAAACATATAATCTCTCCTGATGCCTATAGCACGTGCAAAAGATTTAAATCAGTCACTAAAGCGAATAATGTGAAACCTTATAAACACACTGATCAGTCTGCATCCTACTCTGATCTTCCCTCAGCCACACTAAACGTGCACCGTTTACTTGGACAAGACATATCACTACCTTGCATCTCGCTTGTCGATATAAATAAGAGCAGTCACATACCGTTAGAGTCGACATCATTTGTCAGTCCAAACAAAAACACCACATGTTGTGAGCAGTATTTAGACAGTGCTGTTGACCCCAAACACCCAGCAATCTCACAATCGGCCATCCTGAGTAGCGGCCCACGGAGTACATGTAAGCCTGCCTACAATAGCCAGCCCGGTGATGTAGATCTTGACTACTCACCCAGACATATACCCCATCCCCCAACTAAGTGTGCACAAAGTGAACATCCGCTAGACACCTGCAACAGGCCTGTATGTAACCATATCGACCTTAGAAACTTTGATATAAACTCCGATAATCTCACCACTGGTAGACCTAAAAGCAGCCAAACAGAACTTAGCCTCACCCAAACTATTCAAGACCTATTACCTTACAAATATTTAATCAGTGTTCCAGAAAATCCCGATCTGGAAATTATAAAAAACACTGAAAAAGTAATTGACCATATATCATCTGAAGTGTTGAAAAGACTTCAGTGTATGCAGAATGTTATTGTGTATAATATACCTGATAGTACGAACATAAAGATTGCTAAAAATACTCTGCTACAAGAATGTGGATTGTCGCAATCTTGGTGTGTAACAAGAAGATTACGTAAGGCACACACTAAAGCCTCTTGTCCCATTCTATTTCAGTTTGGTAGCACCACTGAAGCTAATCACCTCCTCAATAGTCAGTCATTACTGAGGCGTATTCCAACATTTAAAAAGATTAGGATCATTCATGACAGGACCGCTATCCAGCGTCGAATCTGCAATGGAATACACTGCCCCCCCCCAAAAAACGGAGGCACGTCGGACACTGCTATTAGTCCTAAGGACAAGACCGCACATAAAGCAGCTACAACCACTCACCCTCAGCCCAGACACTCAGCTACCCCAAAATGCCAAACCACTTATGCCTCAATAGCGTCCAAGTATTACCCTAGCGGCCCTTATAAAATGCCTAAAAATGATCCTCCCAGGGATTGCGCTAACAGCTACAGACCCGCAGACACCGCTGTGCGAAATAATACCAAACTCTCCGTAAAAACCCACCAATACTCCAGCACCCCTAACCCAAAACATGCACCTTCTCATAGTAATAGAATGCCCTACAACAAACATAGTGAACTGGCAACACCCACTCATCCTAATGTGAAACGACACTCGACAAGAACCACACCCACACGTGATACCCATAAGTCATATGGTGTCAACCTTGTAAGCCCCATGAACCAACACAAAACTATACACAACAGAAACACCTCTCCTGGCAACAATAACAGGCACTCCTTCATCCCTTACCAGAAACATACAACCTCCCCAACTAACCACAATAGGACTAAAATTGCCCGCCGCACACGAGGAAGTCATAACGCTGGCCTACTTGGGAACCCACCTACAGATTCTAGGTACTATCTAAGTCAAGCCACCCAATACAACGGTTTAGTCCCCCCTAATTCGACATGCACACTATTTCATCCTTTTTTATCTCTCTCCCCCTCAACATTACTGCTATGGGGTCTCCAAATGTTGAGGGCGACAATCCCACTATTCTGAAACCATCTATATACTCCGATTTAATGGGGAGTAGCACATCCTACTCAACTTCGATAACTGTCTCTAGTCTTGAAAACTCCTTGACTGAACCCCCTGATCATTCCCCGGACACATTACCTAACCATTCGACTCTACCTTCCACTCTTAGACATACTTCTTTCACCAAAACCACACCCGACTACCCTTCTTGCATTAACCCTACTGGTAATAAACTAAACACTCATCAATATGGAGTCAACGCTCCCAATTCTTCCTTTTCTCATGGCAAAACAGACAAACCACTCGGTTTGCATCATACCCTTCTACTAGACAAACAGTCACCGTACCTGACACTTATGTTAATCAACGCTCGATCTGTACAAAGTAAGATGACTTACCTACGCACCCTATTGCTTTTAAACAACCCCTCACTTGTTTTGATAACGGAAAGTTGGCTGTCCTCCGATACCACAGACACATTTCTACAAATAGACACCTATGAGCTCTTCCGCTGTGATCGAGTCACCAAGAAGGGTGGGGGTTGTCTCGTTTATGTATCAAAAAATTTGAGAGCGGAAACCTATAGCGACCACGTCCTCAGCAAACTTCCTGAATCGATATGGCTTACTGTGCACACTCATAAATGTAAAATACTAGTCGGATGCATATATCGAGCTCCTAACACTCCTAGTTCAACTGACACTATTATAAGTGAGTCATTTGCTCAGGCTGCCTCGCTTGACTTCACATACAAAATTGTATGTGGTGATTTCAACCTTCCCACCATCAACTGGAAGACACATTCTGGCCCATTGTGCTTTGAAAGCATACTTGGGTCCTTAGACATACACGGCTGGCAACAACATGTACACCTGCCTACACGAAATCACAACATTCTTGACTTGATATTCTGTCATAGTGTCACACCAACATCAATGGTGGTTGGCGAAAAGTTTCACAACAGCGATCATAAAATAGTCCTCTGCACCCTTCCGATTCTTGCCATATGCAACAAATTAAAGACATTAAAAACGCGATTCCAATATAGAGACTATGCAAACGCTGACTGGGAAAACTTTCGATTTCTTATAAAGCACTCTGGCTGGGGCAGCTTCTTTACCAGTAATAACCTCTTAGAAATATTCAATATCACCACCAAATCTGCACTAGACACTACTATACCCTCTAAAATTGGTTTTAAAACAGTTACTCCCTATATAAACCAAAAGACTAGGTCTAAACTGAGAAAACTGAAAAGGATGTACTATATATCAAAAGACTTCAGTGCCCTGCACCAGATATACTCTGTACTTGACGGAGTACAAAGTCAACACAACAAGCATAAACAGGTAGAGGAACGTACTGCGCTCGCTGCTGCATCTAAAGCCCAAGCCCTATGTCGTCTCCTCACGAAACGCATAAGTAAGAACACAGACAACAATATTCACTCCTTACTGCACGATGGAGTAACGTATAATGACCAAACCGTCATATGTGAACTATTAAGTGAATGGTTTTCTCACAATGGGAATACATCTGATGCCCCAGATATCGACATAAAGTGCACCGGCAAAAACTATCTTAGTACCATAAACTTCGACATTAGGAGTATACATACCGCCATTAAAACCCTTAAGCCAAATGCGAGTTCTGGTGCCGATGACATCCCTTCAATCGTTTATAAAATGTCAGGGCCGGACATACAGACGCTACTACTCAAAATATACACATTATCTTTAGAGACAGGTACATATCCGGAAACCTGGAAGGTAACGTATGTTCTTCCCAAACACAAATCCGGACCGAGAAACCTGGTTGAAAACTACAGACCTATAAATATCACTCCAGTCATATCACGCATAATGGAAAAAGTGATACAAAATCAACTATCTGATCACCTACTCAAGGAAGATCTAATAGACCCGTCACAACACGGCTTCATTAGAACAAGGTCGTGCAGTACATGCCTGATAGACTTCTTTAACGAGGTTACTCGTATGCGTGACCAGAAGAAACTAGTTATTATACTATACTTCGATATTAAGAAAGCCTTTGATAAAGTACCTCATAATCTTCTAATCAACAGACTTAAGTCAGTTGCAATTATAAATCCCCTTTTGCAATGGATCAAGATTAACTCTAACACATCTACACCTCGACCGATAACCAGTGGTGTTGTGCAGGGTAGTGTCTTGGGTCCATTGCTCTTTATAATCTACATCAACAATATATGCAGGTGTTTCAGCACAGGTAAGACCTACCTCTATGCCGATGACTTAAAAGTCATCTATAAAACTGACATTTACGATTTACGCAGTACTATGCAAACAATCCAACATGAACTCAACATGGTAGATGACTGGTGCAAACGCTGGAGTTTAGAGCTCAACATAGAGAAATGCGGCTGGTTATGTATAGGAGACACGTCTCTTAAAATGAAACTAACAATTAGCGATCACACACTCCCCAGACTGGCATCAGTAACTGACCTAGGGGTACATTACTCACACAGTCTTAATTTCTCTGAACACATCTCAGCCAAAGCATCCAAAATGCGGAAATTGCTTGGCTTCATTCTCCGTAATTTCTATCAAAATGAATCTAAAATCCTTCTTTACAAAGTTTGTGTAAGACCTATCGTTGAATACTGCTCGTTCTTATTTTCCAACCTACGTCTATCTGATATACTAAAGGTGGAAGGAATACAACGAGACTTCACCCGCAAAGTACTTAAGACTGACTCGGTCATTGACTGCAGTTCTCGATGCCAAATCTTAGGAATAGCACCCCTTTGGGAGAGAAGGCTTGGGTCTAATTTGATTCTCTACTTCAAACTACTCAAAAACCTTACTTACTCAACATGTCAGATAATTCTTGCCCGAGACTCACATGAATACGAACTTCGAAACAAAGTATCTACGGTCAAAGTTGAGAAATACAGATCAAAAACTCGGGAAAACTTCTTCCTCACCAAGTATGCAATAATATGGAACAGTCTTCCTTCCGAGACTCGCATGGCAGATGAACTACATACGTTTGTGAAACTGCTTGATCAAGCCCTCACTCGCACTGATCTTGCACGTACGAGCACATCTGCACCCCACTCAGACATCATAGGCTCTCTCCATGTCTAGACCAAAATGGACTTCAAGTTCAGTTTGCCTTATTTTTCCTACTTTGCAGTTGTATTAATTACTTTTTCCACCCCATTTCTTCACTTGAAGTAGACAGGTAACTCACTGGACCTATCATTACTGTTAAACTAAACTCGGTCGATAAGGGACACTCACTACCACCCTAAAAAGTCAAGAGGACCCCACAATCGGCTGCCTACTACCAGTGGTCTTGCATCTATGGAACCTGTTACCAATCAACTGGTTAAGACAACAGAAAATAACATCAGCACCAAGTTACTGTGAGTTCCTTCCTGTTTATCCTATATTAACTTTTTACCCTTCTGTACACTATGTTGACTAGCAATTAATATTATTTCTCCACTCGTTCCCTTATCCACAACTCATATTTCTATACTTTTTCCGCCTGCTTAAATAAACAACTATCCTACAATATACCCTTCTTAACGCTTATACTCTGTTTGGCAAACTATACTTTATACTATAGTCAACAGAGGCACTGCATCGATGCTTTACCCACAGTCCACAGCTTGTAACTGCCTGATAAGCTTGTAAAATGGTACTTATAGAAATAGTGCTTTCCAACAAGTTGTGAAACAGAGGATTGTGTGAGGTATGACGTATATACAAAAATAAGCTTAAATGAGCCTAACATCACAAAAGGAGGGAGGATGGAGTTACTGACCAGCAAGCATTGATGGTGAGGGCGATAACTTCAATCCACCCGTGTTTGTGGGGACAGAACATTTTGTATGTATCAGGCTCTTTATAATTGAGAATAAGACAGTCAATCTAAGATATAGATTGTCTTCCTACGCTCACCACTCAGACTCATGTTTCCAATAATATGCTGGACTAGCTATTCTACTAAGACAACCTATAACATGCTAACTCGGACTTTTACACTAGGATTGCGTGGCTGACATCGGATGGACAAAAAAAGAAAAGAAAAAAGACAATAAAAGATATAGTCACTAGTATTCTTAACACTTCACCCTCTATATACACACCCTTCTAATAAACCGCATCCCTTGTACCAACCTTGACTTCCCTTCCTTCATGTGAGCTTACTCCAACTTGTTAAACATCACAACTCGTTGTTCTTTATTAGTACATTCTCTAATATGGAGCCTCTGACTTCACTTCACTCTAACAAGACATTATATGAATTTATTCTAATTTATTATACCTCTGTCCGTTCTACTACACAATGTTAAGCAACCTTTGGCGTTCATATCCAAGTGCCTTGCTGCTTCTCTGTTTCTTTTTTTTCCCCTTCAGAATCTTGCTCTGAGAGCACAGCTATGAAACTTCTGACGTTTGGAGCAAACTTAACGTACGTGTCCTCTCAAGGTCATAGTTTACAGCAAGCGCTCTACGATTTCACTTTATAACAACTATAAACTTAATAAGTTGGGAAGCATTTTGCGAACCAACAAATGTTGTAATTTATAGATCATGCCTGTAAAAACGGTGTGTACCTGTACATGCAGAAGTATATTATTATTATTATTATTATTATTATTATTATTATTATCTCTCCCGTAGCTAGCCTTTTCTGTCCAGCTTGGGTCCAGTGGGTTTCGCTGATTCCCAGTACTGCCAAGTTGTACCTCCTCATTTCCGTTGCTATTTGGCTGGTCTTCCCGGTTTCCCACATTGTTCTAACGTTCCATGTACCTATAAAAATTTTTGCTCTGGTTGTTAGAAGGGGCATCGGCCTCGTGGCTTCCGAAGGAACTCGGCTTTCACCATAAACGTCATAATTCTTCTAAACGAAGACCTTCTAACTCTCAGGGCAGAGTTAAAATGGTTTGAATTATTTTTTCTGGCAAGCGTTTTTTTTAGCGAGTTAGTTTTCTACGGGATGGGGACGCTAACCCCATG